GTGCAGTGTGTGTGTGTAGTGTGTAGTGTGCAGTGTAGTGTGCAGTGTGTATGTGTAGTGTGCAGTGTGTAGTGTGTGTAGTGTGCAGTAGTGTGCAGTGTGTAGTGTGTAGTGTGTAGTGTGTGTGTATGTGTGTAGTGTGTAGTGTGTAGTGTGTAGTGTTGTGTGTGTAGTGTGCAGTGTGTGTGTGTAGTGTGTAGTGTGCAGTGTGTGTAGTGTGTAGTGTGTAGTGTGCAGTGTGTGTAGTGTGTAGTGTGTAGTGTGTTAGTGTGTAGTGTGTAGTGTGCAGTGTGTGTGTGTGTGTAGTGTGTTAAGTGTGTGTAGTGTGCAGTGTGTAGTGTGTGTGTAGTGTGGTGTGTGTGTAGTGTGTGTAGTGTGTAGTGTGCAGTGTGTGTGTAGTGTGTAGTGTGTGTAGTGTGCAGTGTGTGTGTGTGTGTGTGTGTGTGTAGTGTGTGTAGTGTGTAGTGTGTAGTGTGTGTGTGTAGTGTGGTGTTGCAGTGTGTGTGTGTGTGTAGTGTGTAGTGTGTAGTGTGCAGTGTGCAGTGTGTGTGTGTGTAGTGTGTAGTGTTGTAGTGTGTGTAGTGTGTAAGTGTGTAGTGTGTAGTGTGCAGTGTGTAGTGTGTAGTGTGTAGTGTGTGTGTAGTGTGTGTGTGTGTAGTGTGTAGTGTAGTTGTGCAGTGTGAATGTGTGTGTGTGTGTGTGTTAGTGTGTAGTGGTGTAGTGTGTAGTGTGCAGTGTGTGTAGTGTGCAGTGTGTGTAGTGTTAGTGTGTAGTGTGTGTAGTGTGTAGTGTGTAGTGTGTAGTGTGTAGTGTGCAGTGTGTGTAGTGTGTAGTGTGTAGTGTGTAGTGTGGTGTGTAGTGTGTGTGCATGTGTAGTGTGTAGTGTGTGTAGTGCAGTGTGTAGGTGTAGTGGTGTGTGTGTGTAGTGTGTGTAGTGTGTAGTGTGTAGTGTGAGTGTGCAGTGTGTAGTGTGTAGTGTGTAGTGTGTAGTGTGTAGTGTGCAGTGTGTGTAGTGTGTAGTGTGTAGTGTGTGTGTGCAGTGTGTAGTGTGCTGTGTGCATGTGTAGTGTGTAAGTGTGCTGTAGTGTAGTAGTGTGTAGTGTGCAGTGTGTGTGTTGTGTGCAGTGTGTGTAGTGTGTAGTGTGCAGTGTGTGTAGTGTGCAGTGTGTGTAGTGTGTAGTGTGCAGTGTGCAGTGGTGTAGTGTGCAGTGTGTGTGTGTGTAGTGTGCAGTTTGCAGTGTGTGTAGTGTGTAGTGTGCTGTGTGCACTGCTCGTCCTACATAAGTGCAAATACAAATATGATGCAGTTCGTAACACGTTATGTCCTGTCGTCTGTCCGACCCTTCAGGCAAATTTTAGGACCCTATGTGGCCCGCGAGCCAAAAAGTTTGCCCCCCCCCGGACTAGAGCCAAGAACACAAACAGTCCTTCCAGTCCTGGTCCAGTCCTGGTCCAGTCCTGGTCCAGTCCTGGTCCAGTCCTGGTCCAGTCCTGGGTGTGTGGTCTGTAGAGGTGCATTGTGGGTAAAAGATCTGGTCGAGGTCATTGACATTTTTATCGAAAAACTCAGACAAATGAAGCTCTACAGAGACGACTGGACCAGGACTAAACCAGGACTAAAACCAGGACTAAACCAGGACTGGACCAGATGAAACACGTCCAGATCCCTGTGGACAGAAGAGCAGATCAATATCTCCCCCTGATCACATCAATAAAACATCAATCTGTGATCGGCTCATTGGGTCTGTCACAGGACCAGAACTAAACCAGGACTGGACCAGAACTAAACCAGTACTGGACCAGGACTGGACCAGGTCTAAACCAGGTCTAAACCAGGACTAAACCAGGACTAAACTAGGTCTAAACCAGGACTGATGCTTTTTCTGTCAGTCCTGGTCCTGGTCCAGTCCTGGTCTTGGCCTCCTTCAGTCCAGGTCCAGTCCGGGTCGTGGTCCGGTCCTGGTCTTGGCCTCCTCCGGTCTTGGTTCAGTCCTGGTTTAATTCTTCTTCGTCTCTTTCTCTCTCAGTCGTGTCTAATTCGCGTCTGATTCGTGTCTAATTGATTCCGTGTCGCAGATGACGCGCCTCATTAGTCCGAACGCGGCTCGCGCGCCCCCACCCCCGCCGCCCCACCCCCCGCGCCCCCACCCCCAGTCACCCCCCCCCCCTCCCCCTCTCCGCTCTCCACCTCGTCCTCACCGCACCTCCACGTTCTTCACAGCTTTGACGCACCGCTCCTGTTCCGCGCCGCTCTCGCCCCGGTCCAAACTCACCGCCGCGTCACCGCGTCCACTGCCGCGTCCCTACCGCATCCACTGCCGCGTCTCACCGCGTCCACTGCCGCGTCTCACCGCGTCCACTGCCGCGTCTCACCGCGTCCACTGCCGCGTCCACTGTCAGTCCAGTCCAGAATGTCCGTGCACGCGTATCCCTATTTCAATCCGCGTGCGCGTCACGGCTCATTACGGCAGCGCGCGCACCGGCCCGCGCACGCGCTTCAGTCATAAATCCCGCGCTTAATTAAGCGCACGCGCGCGACACGAGCTCATTTAATTAAAGGATTTCGCGCGCGCGGGCCGTGGTTTATTACCGCCATTAACCGGAAATAAAGAACACCACGGAACATTCTAACGAGCTTTAATACACCAGGACTAAACCAGGACTAAACCAGGACTAAACCAGGACTAAACCAGGACTAAACCAGGACTAAACCAGGACTAAACCAGGACTAAACCAGGACTAAACCAGAACTAAACCAGGACTAAACCAGGACCTAAAACCAGGACTAAAACCAGGACTAAAACCAGGACTAAACCAGGACTAAACCAGGACTAAACCAGGACTAAACCAGGACTAAACCAGGACTAAACCAGGACTAAACCAGGACTAAACCAGGACTAAACCAGGACTAAACCAGGACTAAACCAGGACTAAACCAGGACTAAACCAGAACTAAACCAGGTCTAGATCAGGTCCAGGTGTGTGTAAAATGAGAGTTTCAGATTAATGAGTCATAATTAATCACTGATTAATGTTTCTATAATCACCAGACACACACACACACACACACACACACACACACACACACACACACACACACACACACACACACACACACACACACACACACACAACACACACACACACACACACACACACACACACACACACACACACACACACACACACACACACACACACACACACACACACACACACACACACACACACACACACACACACACACACACAGACACACACACACACACACAGACACACACACACACACACGGGACAGACTGGTACACAGAGACTGGGTTCAGTCTTTCTTTCAGTCCTGGTTTAGTCCTGGTTTATTCTGGTTTAGTCCTGGTTTAGTCCTGGTTTAGTCCTGGTTTAGTCCTGGTTTAGTCCTGGTTTAGTCCTAGTTCAGTTCTGGTTTAGTCCTGGTTTAGTTCTGGTTGAGTCTCTGGGCTCGTGATCACGTGGGTGATTACCGTTAGGACGCGTAATAGACGCGTAGTAGACGCGTAGGAGACGCGTTGTGACGCGCTGTTTGTCGATCACTTTTTAAGTTGAAGTTTAATTTCAGCCTGAAAATGTTGAATTTAGATCAAGTTTATAAAAATCACGTGACGCGTCTTCTGCGCGCGCCTCGTGCACGCGCTCACGGACCCGCGCCGTTTCCCTCAAATCAAAAATCATTTCACTTTTTTACACCCGGGATTTTCTTTTTTTTTTTTTTTTTTGCAGTGTTACGAGGCCCCGCGTGACGTCATGACCCGTGTGGACCAATCAGAGCCCAGTGCGCCTGAGGCAGAGGAAAAGGCAAAAGCTCCGCGCAGCCGCGTCTGCCGCTCATTACGCACCGGGACAGCAGCCCGCGAGCACCGCACGCACCGGGGACGCACCGGGGACGCGCCTCAAACGCACCGAGGACGCACCGGGATCACGCGCTAAAAGACAGAACGGACACGCGCGAGGACCCGGGACACGCGCGTGGGACACGGACAGAGAGAGAGGAAGAGGAAGAGGAAGAGGAAGAGGAAGAGGAAGAGGAGGAAGAGGAGCGCGGGACGTGGCGGCGCAAACTGACGGAATCTGCAGGTGAAATCCGGGACCACAGCGGAACTAAACCAGGACTAAATGTGGACTTTATGAGAACTCGACCAGAGAAAAACGGGACCAGATTTTGGATCAAATCCTCTTTGACCTTTGACCTTTGACCTCAGACTGAAATGTGGGACTGAACAGAACTCACCCTGGTCCAGACCTGGTCTAGTCCTGGACTAACCCCGGACCGTCAGAACTAAACCAGGACTAATGGAGCCAAAGATTCAGTTTGACAGTGAAGACGAACCAAACTGCACCTAACCCGGACTGACCCGGGATAACTCACTAACCCCGAGGCCCGGGACTAAACCTGCTCCAGAGTCCAGAGTCCAGAGTCCAGACAAAGACCAAAGACCAAAGACCAAAGTCCAAAGTCCAGAGGCCAAAGCCAAAGACCAAAGTCCGGAGCCGAACTTCAGTGAAACGAAAACGAGACTTTTGGATTTTACGCAGCGGCGCGTAAAAGGCGCGTGCCACTCCAAGACCCTGCGCCAAACCCGGACTAAACCGGGACTAAACCCGGACTAAACCCGGACTAAACCAGGACTAAACCAGGACTAAACCAGGACTAAACCGGTGTGATCAGAATTCCGCGCGGAGCTGCCTCAAATCTCCACTGAGATTTATTTTATTTATTAAATTTTTTTGTTGTGAAATTGTTTTTGAAACTGAACCTGGACAAACAGAAGTACAAAGGACCCGGTCCCCGACCCGGACACCGGACCCGGTCCAGACCCGGACCACCGGACCCGGTCCAGACCCGGACCACCGGACCCGGTCCAGACCCGGGCCGAAGAGGATCCCGCCTCAGGACTAACCGGGTCAGACTCTCCCGGGTCATCGCTCGGGTCATCGCTCGGGTCATCGCTCGGTTCGGGTCGGTCGTCATGGCGATGCCGCGGCCCGTCTGCACTTCCGCCTTCAGTATCGAGTCTTTGATCTCAGGCCCCGGCTCCGGTTCCGGTTCCGGTCCGGCCCCGTTCGTTTACAGTTACCCGATGTTCGTGCCGTACCGCTCCGTGCTGCTGCCGCCGCCGCTGCCGCCGCCGCACGGTTACGGCATGACGCTCACGTCCGCGGTGTTCCCGCCGGGAGCGCACGCGCACGAGGGCGCGGGGATGGCGGGAAGCGCGAGGAAGTTCGGGTTCGACAAAAACCACGAGACGGAACCGGAACCGAAAGGATTCCTCCCCACGGCTCCTAAAGAACCGCTCGGCTCGTTCACCGAAGAGCCGGGACTGCACGGCGGGGCAGGTGAGAACCACGCACCAAACACGCGCAAAACACGCACCAAACACGCACCAAACACGCACCAAACACGCGCAAAACCCGACACGTGACCTCTGACCTTTACAAACTCGCGGAACAAAGAAACAAAAAAGTTTTTCAAAACAAACGCAGCGTAAAAATCAAAGTGAAAAAGATGAAGTTTTACGCACGAGACGCGCCGGAGGAAAAGTGACGTCACTAAAAACAGACGAAGAAAAAAACACGAAACCGCAAAGTTTTCAAAAACTGATGAAAATAATAATAATAATTATAAACGAATAATAAACACAAAGAAAGAAAAAGAAAAAGAAACCGGAGTTTTTATTTTTTCTTCTTCAAATGTTCAAATGTGACGGAAAAGTTCAAATTAAATCATTTTTTATTTTATCTAAAATCTGTTTTTAAAACGAAAGTGAAACTAAACCGGGACGCGCGCACACGCACGTGCACTTGCACTGTGGGAGATTTTCACGCGCGTCAACAGGAAGTGAACCGCGTTAATTAAAAAGAATTAAAACAGAGGCCTTTGATGTGCCGCTCCAATCACACACGCCACGTGCGCGCGCACGTGCACCGGACTTTAAATATGAAGCACGAGACAAAAAAATGTAATAAAATAAAATATATATAAAATAAAATAATATAAATAATAATAATGTGTTTTGTGTTTTTATAATAAAATGATTCATTTAAATTCTGACTCTTAAAGATGATTTTTGTTTTTAATTCTTTTTGATTCTTTTGATTTTTATTTATTTATTTTTATTTTTTTATTCTTTTGATTCTTTGTTTCACGCGGGTCACGCGCACGTGTTTGACGCGCTCGCGGAAAGAGCCGAGAGGCTCCGGAAACACACGAAGTGCGCGTGAGAGTTTGGCCTTTTCCCGCGCGCACAAACACGCGCGGCTCCTTTTAAGTATCGGCTCCTTTAAGTATCGGCTCTTTCCTGATCCATAATCGGCCTGAATCCGCGCGTGTCCCGCTTGGGCCTCCGTCCACAAACACGCGCACAGACGTGACACGCACGGGGTGTGACGTCACATTTGGTTTGTTGAAATTTTTCCAGAAAAAAAAAAAAAATCCGCGCGTGACTTTTTCACGCACAAACGCAAAGAAAATGGCGGGAAACGGCCTCGTCAGATTCAAATAAAATAAAAGGATTTGGACCAATCAGAGGCGGTTATTCTGCCCGCCACGTGTCCGTTTGATCTCACTTTAATTTAACACGTTTCACTTTTACGAACGAAACAAAAAAATAAATCAAACTAAATCAAATCAAATCTGAGCCACAGTTTCTTTTTCCAAACGGAGCCGCACAAACAAACGGCTCTTTCAGGCGGCTCCTTGCGGCTCCTTGCGGCTCACTTTTGGACAGAAGAATCAGAAACAGTCACAAGTTTGTCACGTGAGAAAAACGCCGCGGCGGAAACAGAAAAATCAAAGAGAAAAACACGAGCCGCAGTTTTGACTTTTCAGCCACTTCAACACGTCAAACCCGCGGCTCCGCGGCTCCTCTCCTCGCGGCTCCGCGGTGTGTTCCGCGCTGCCGCGTCGCGCTGCCGCGTCGCGCGGTTCTTCTTCGTTAGTTTTTCATTAGCGGAGACTTTGCCGCGCTGTCAATCAAAGTCCCGCCGCGTCACTTCATCAAGAAAAATCAAAGAGTCTCGTGACGCGTCCCGCGGGAGCCGCGCGCGCTGATTTAAGGCGCAAACCCGCGCGTAAAAGCGTCACGCACGAGCGCGTGTCAAAAGATCATGTCACTTTAACGCGACACGATTTATGTCTTTACGTAACAACGAACCTTAAATCACCACGCACGTGCCGCTCCCTCCAGCCCGCGCACCGGGGCTCGTGCCGCTCCGGGTCCTCCGGGTCTGTGCTTCAGGTCCGTTTCATTTTTTTTGTGTAAAACTCGAGTGAAAATTCTTCTTTTTATTATTTGTGAAATTCCTGAAATTGTGACTTGACGTGAAAATGACTCGAGGCCAAATTCCAGGTCATATGATCGTTTTTTTTACGTGCACCAAACTCCGAGTCAAATCAGATTTCTGAACATTTAAGAACAAAAAAAAATGTCACGAAAATCACCAAAAGTGACGCGCGCGCGGCTCACGATTCACACGTTTACGTCACTGAAACAAAAAAACTAAAACTCTAAAAACTAAAAGTGCAAAAATAAAATCCACTGAAGAAAAACTGTGGCGACGAGGAGCACGCGCCCGCGCCGCACGTGCGCATCAGATAAATTTGCGTAAACATAAAATGTTCCAGAATTTACATTTTCTGCACATGATTTGAAACGGCGAATTTTTAATTGAAAATCACAGATTTTTGTGTAAATGGCGTCGCATCCGTGACAGAAAATTAAACTCGTAATTACGGCAGAATTTCTCATAATCACGAGTTTGTTGTAATAAAATAATTTTTCAAATGAATCAAAACTAAATTCAAAACTAATGATTCGAAAATAAAACCTGAACAAATGAAAGATTCAACCAAGAGACACCGGCCGAGACGTTCAGAACAAATACAAGTATTAAACTGATTATTCATGATTATTCATGATTATTGATTACGATGATTAAATTCATTATTTGATGATTTTGTTTGTCGTCGTTTATTTTTCTTTCTGTTTCACAAACACTTTTTTCTCTCGAGCCGAGACGCTTCAGACATTTTACAAGTTTTAGTTTAAGTCAAACATAAAAAGTCTTCGTATAAAATCTACATTCTAAATTTAAAATTCTAAATTTAAAATTCTAAATGTTAAATGTTAAATTGTAAATTCTTCTTGGACGAGTTCAAATGTGCAGAAGTGAAGAAACATTAAAGCAGCGACAGAAACAAAAACACGTCGAGTTTAAATTTTATTGTGAATATTTCAAACAAAAATTACAAACACAAAGTTTCACCTGATGATGTCACAGGTCACGTTTGATTGACAGGTCACGTTTGATTGACAGCTCACGAGAACCTCGTTTCAATTTAATCTATTTTAATTATTTTAAAAACGCTCGAGCGTCTCAACGAAACTCAACTGTGACACAGACCAGGACTAGACCAGGACTAGACCAGGACTAAACGGGGCAGACGAGTTCATTTGTATAAGAGATAAAGCCAGATGCCCTCCCTGTGTCCCAGAGGAAAAACTGACCCTGAACTCATGAATTTTAAAAAACTACACATCCCCAGAGACCAGGACTAAACCAGGACTAAACCAGGACTGAACCAGGACTAAACCAGAACTGAACCCCAGGACTGAACCAGGACTGAACCAGGGAACAGGACTAAGGACACAGGACTAACCAGGACTGAAACCAGGACTAAACCAGGACTAAACCAGGACTGAACCAAGACAACCAGGACTAAACCAGGACTGAACCAGGACTGAACCAGGACTAAACCAGGACTAAACCAGGACTGAACCAGAGTGTGTGGGATTAAAGCTTCACTGTGGACTTTTTCAGACGTGGACGAGTCCCTGCGCAGAGACGAGTCCTTCTCTCTGGACTCAGACCTGGACTACAGCTCCGACGAGAACCAGACCCAGTCCTGCTCCAAAGACCGAAGTCCGGACCCGGACCGGGATCACAACCAGCCCCGAGACGGGAGCCGCGGCTCCGGGGGGAAGAACCGTCGTCGTCGGACGGCGTTCACCAGCGAGCAGCTGCTGGAGCTGGAGAAAGAGTTTCACTGTAAGAAGTATCTGTCTCTGACTGAGCGCTCGCAGATCGCCCACGCCCTCAAACTCAGCGAGGTCCAGGTCAAGATCTGGTTCCAGAACCGACGCGCCAAATGGAAACGGGTCAAAGCCGGAAACGCCAACAACAAGAACGGAGAACCCGCCCGAAACCCCAAGATCGTCGTCCCCATCCCCGTCCACGTGAGCCGCTTCGCCATCCGCAGCCAGCACCAGCAGATGGAGCAGACCCGGCCCTGAACCGGACCTGAACCGGACCTGAACCGGACCTGAACCGGACCTGAACCGGCCCTGAACCGGACCTGAACCGGACCTGACCGGACCGGGACCGGACCGGGACCGGACCAGGACCGGACCAGGACCAGGACCAGCAGATGGAGCAGACCCGGCCCTGAACCAGACCGGGA